GATGTTGCTCAACGATCATGTTTGACCCCGTTTCTGGCATGAGCAGCCCCTTAAGGTATTCCTCAAGCTTTACAGGATTTGGTGGTTCTGTTAGGCATGGAACGCATAAGTGTTTAATAGTCCAAGCTGAGGGTCCGCTCATGGCGTTCGTACCGTCTTCATTGCTTCGAAAAATAGTCCAAAGACTGACGTAAAAGCCTGTGTTTTAGCTTCAGTGCTTTTGTCTTGTTTACAATGTTTATACGACGAAAAAAAAACTCGAAAACTAATTTCTTTTACCGAAAGAGTACTTAAAGGCAGTGGTTACGATAGGTTCAAGAAGGGTTTATAGGAGACTGGTGGTGCTCAATGGTACGCCAGTGGCGAAAAAAGCGGAGAAATCCGTCAAGAAAACGCAAAACGGGACCCTTTTTTGGCCGTTGGTTTTCACTCATGAACAGGTAACAGCTCAGAAAGCGAACGAGTTCACGCAACGCGTTTGGTGACAGCATGCCAATCCATGCTCCAATCGAGTTGCTTCAGTTGTGCCGCTGCTGGCAACGCAGCTCGTCCAAATCACCAAGTAGTGGGCGGATCGCTTTTGGGGGCGGAGTGCTTTCGAAGTCCTGCTCAGCAACCAGCGCACCTTTCGTCGTGAAAGCGCTACACCTCGCTTACGTCCTTTCCTGGCAGCCAAGTAACTGATTCGTGTGGTGCATATGTTTCCTCCTTATCGTAATCGCTGCCTTTAAGGTTATTAAGAGTAGATTGAAGTGCTGCAATTAATAGTCATATGGAAATTTTCTATTGTGGTAGTAAGTTTACATAATATATTGACAGAAGTAAACGAGATGGTGAAAGGATGGGAAATAAAAAATCTAAAAAAAATTGAATATCAAAATGGTGCGACTGCAGTGAGGAACGTTATATTCAAGAAAGCCTACTGATTCGCCATTTTTTCTCTAATTTTTTGTTTCTTTAATAAGGTCACTATTGAACAGAATTGTTCATTTTGCGATTTTGCTATAATTTTTATTCTATTGCCATAGATTCTTTTCCACGAAAGCCTTTCTCTGCCCTTTTTGTTTCGAAGCGGTGATAAAATGTGAATGGTGTAGCAGATGCGAGAAATCGCGCTAAAATTGTGCTATTTAATTTGCGTCAGTTTCCACCAGATTTCCTGAACTCTTCAAAGATCTCCCTATTATGGTGTCAATTTCTTAGCGCCTCATGGTCAGCTCTTTTTGAGAGCACATCTTTGCTAAGATCTCGAAAGACCAAAAGCTTAGGTGATTATTCTGTGACACTCTGTGACTTACATGTGTGACAGTAGTCCTAGTTTTTAGGCCCAATGCAGGCCCACTAGAAAGGCTCACGATTCCGTGGAAAGAGTCACGCTCGTGAAAGCAGAGATAAACTTCCTTGAAGGGAAGTAGAGGATCAAGCGCATATTAAAGGATCGCATAATTATAGATAACCCCTTGGTGAGTTTGTGCCAGCCAGCGTTTGGACCTAATGACACACTGTCTCTCGGTCCATTCACGCATTCCTTTACGTCGATAAGGACCATAATAAGGACCACATTACAGGGTAGGCATAGTTTTGGATTAAGCTCAATTCCAGAATAATCACGTCATTTTCAAAAAAAAAACAAATAAAAAAAAACAATTAGAATGGATGGGAATGATCAGAAGGAATTAGGAGAATGAACGATCGCAAACAGTAAACATCACCATCTGACTTTTGATGCAAAATACGTTTACGTTTCATCTTTTTTGTGCATTCTTTCGCTTTCTTTTTCCTTTCGCTTTTTCCGACCATCTTTGTTTTTACGCCGCCTCACCGATCAGGTCAGGCTATCAGCTCCGAGCTGGCCAGCCAATTTTTTCCCTGTCTGAGGGTCTATGAAAGTCCGATGCATGCATTGCTGAAAATCCCTTCACAGTTCGGATAGAGCTAGCAATTACAGAAAGCAGATGAGTGGTTATTCCGGCTATTTCTCGATAAAAGCCAGTCATCGATCGGAAAAGATCGGGAGCCTGTCCACTTGTCGGCAACGTTTTGACTGAATGATGAGAGTCCCCTCAACAGAGAAGGAAGTCGTACCCTTCCCTGTCAACCGAACAGGGAGTTCGCAATCGTGTTGACACAAAGAAGAAGCAGCTACGCTGAGCAAACGCTGGATCAAAAAAGGTTGAATCGTCAGCGTAGATCAGTCCGCCACGTTCACGCTGAACCAATTTAGAAATTGAGGCCTTTGAAGGGTATCACCTTCAACACTCACTAGTGATATCGAACCGATACATCGGTTAAGATTTCTGCCCTCCTCAACGAATGCGCTGTTTAGTAGGAATGTAATACCGAAATCAAAAAAGAAAGGACTTCTCAAAGGCACCGTCGCAATCGAATTGATGTGTTATTTTGTTCGAAAATCAGCAAGAATTTGAGGAGGATCTCCAGTGGTTAGTAGGGCAGAACAAAAGCAGAAACACCATAGAAAACACTAAATTTTCTCTTGTGAGGCAGGAACGTTGTAGGACTCAGAAACACAGCGCTGCGAGGAGAGAGAAAAACGCTAGAGAGCATGTCGTACGCGAGAGAGCGCAGACGCCACGTATGCTTCGAGTCACCCCGGAGGCATGGCCACAGCGCGAGGGAAAAGCTCCCTTGTCGTACACTTCGAAGTCGCGACAGTAACGACTCTGCTGGTAATTTCTGTCACCCACTAAAGAAGGGAACTTCTCTAGAGCTCATCCAATCGAGACCCGTGCTTTTGAGTATCAGCAGCATCCTGTCTATATGTCCCTTACTTAGTTCGGTGACACTGAGAAAGTTGCTAGTTCTCTTTTTAACTGGACGGATACGGTAGTATTCTTTAAGCATAGCCTGATCTCCAAACGATTGTTCTATTGCGGTACAGTCTGATAGCTACTTGATTCCGGGGTTCTATTTGTCCCTCGCACTTCATAGCTCCTAGTGAAATGCTGAGGAAAACAGGTTCGCATTGCACTCACGCAGTCCTCCGTCAGAGCTACGCCATCCATCCCTCAGGTCCGGCTATATAAATATAATAGTTCCAAAATTGTCTACGGTTAAGTGACACATTGATGCAAATATCATCTTTAAATGGATGAAAGCGAGGGTTATAATGATTATTCAAATGATTCAGTGATTCCAAGAAGAAGTCGGCCACGTGGCTTGCGTATACGCCAGGACCTGTAGCAACTTCTAACCATTTATAAATCTCATAAAAAAACACTTCGGAAGAAAGGCCAATGGACATAAAGGAGTTCATTTGCTCGAGAAGGAAGTGAGAAGGAAGGTAAGGAAGGGGTCAATACATGAATTTGGAGAGAACGTGGGTGGCAGCGCCAGAAAGAAATGATAAAGAGGCAATTGCTTCGCCTCCACAATACGTGCTGGATCGGTCGCCTCTACAATACGTGCGGGATCGGGTCTAGTCAGAGCCAGGCAAGCCTCTCATCAACGTTCGCCGTCGAAATGCTAGCAGAGCTCTCTTGGGGCAACAAAAACCCCAAGATCAGCGTCGGTTCCACTTTGCTAGCCATCGCGTGAGTACCGAGCAAAAATGCCCAGTGCCACAGGCCGTTCTACGCCAGTTGTGTCACGGTTTGCTTTTTATCAGTAGCATAGGAAATGATAGAAGATTTAATTCGAGAAAATAAGTGAGGTAAACTCGAGGGAAACGGTTACCACTACACTACAAAATAATGATACTGTATAACTGCAGTGAATTTCACTTTTGAAAGTTCAAAGCGATTAAAGTAGATCGGGGCCATCGGTAATTAGTGCGTCGTTAGCCGAAGATTAACGAGTGAAAGCCGCCAGCAACCTATAGCCTTTACTAGTCCCAGCTGCACTCCCGTCTGGCCAACTACTTTTTAAGAGCCGGACTTGTAAACATAATAGAAACCCTTGTAGGCCTATTCATAATAGGATGCGCCGCGTAGTCAACCCATAATTAGATTCATAGCGACGTTCAAAAACAGAGTCCACAATAATTTATTGCGCGTAGCAGCGGAGATATGTAGAATGGTAATGCCAGAAATGAAAAACGGGGAAAAACCGTCGACGAAAGGAAAATAAGTCCTCCTAGTCAGCACGGGTTAAGCCAAACGGCATTTATTTGTGGGTGGAGCCTATGCCAAATCCTTGAGCTTTTATCTCGGTCATGGCACCAAGTGGGTACATGCCCCCTCCCCCTTGCATCCTACTCCACATTTTCACGTGAAGAGCTTCATTTTGTCCAGAAATCCCGAGCTTTCCTTTGCAAAGGTGGGTCATAGAAATGACACAAGGATAACAAGCTCGTATTCATGTGATCACTCTCTTTCTACCTGAGCCCAAATGAGGGGGGGGGAGAAAAGAAAGGCCCCTGTGTTGAGTGCCATATGCAGGAACAATAAGTTGATGCAATCGAAAGCAGGCAGAGAAACATCGGATAGATTTCAACTATATCAGAAAAATGCTTACAATAAAACATATAGTCAACAAAATCCAAAAAAAAACAAAAATATTTTTGAATGCTAGTTACGTTTCTACAAAAATTCCCGAAGAAGTGAAATAATGGGCAGCTTAATTGTGTAAATAGGATTCACCTGCTAAGAGGACTGAAGTTCGATAACCATCGTCGTCTCGGAGGTCTAGAGAGGGGAAGCTATGAGGAATCACGACAATGCACTGTCCAGCCCTCCTCACCCATCGAGCCGAGTCAACAAACCACCGCAGTCCCGAAAGACACGCAAAAATGAGGCTAGCGGCTGCTCTCGGACAGTGCTCGTTTCGTCGACGGCGGCTCCCTTACCGGTACTGCCATCAGAGTTAATCGCCCGTTAGACTACATTCACAAAGGGGTCATATTTGCAAGCTTTTTGTGAAGGAAGGGCTCCATATGGTGATAATGGCGTTACATTTGGAAAATGCTGAAAGAAGGGTTCTGGAATGTTGGAAATTGCAGTAAGATACAAAAAAATTTCGCAATATTCTGCAGTAACAGCCCTACACCATCCGTTTCACTTTCGTCGACGGCTCTTTGTGGAGCGATAACCGGCCGAGGGATGCCGTATCGGGGACTAGGCATGGATAACCACTCAATAAGCATCGCAAGGGGAACGAAGTTAGAGAGCGTGGTGTGTGACCCTGGCTCGCAGGGTAAGATCGACTCCAGACGTAGTTTCGATTTTCTCAGAAATGTAGCCAGAAAATTTTTGACATGGTTCCCAGTCCTCTCATTTTAACCTCTGCATTTTCGTTGGAGTTGAAATTGTGCTGCTTACTCTGCCTCGAAGGTCGAATAGGTGGAAAATTTTATTCTGGACAACGTATCGACGGACTCAGCTTACCAACTCGAGGCATAAACATTACAGTTATAACTATTTTTGACCAGTGAAAGTGGTGATTTTTGACGAAGTCTAACTGGAGCCGATCCCCACGACCTCTCATTGGGAGTTAGGGTCACCACCGCTGCGCCCTTCTGCTTCAAGCTTTTTTTCATGAAATCGTTTTGTAAGGTAAGCAGATTTGAACCAGCGTTCAAGGCACACGCACAGCTACATATCTCAGTTCAAAGGGCTGGGCTGACCACTTGAACTTTTTTGTCAGCAAAATTGTGGAGGCTTTCCGTTACGAAATAGCGCGAAGCATTTCGCCCGTTGAATCACGTGCAGCGCTTGATCACATTACTCGTTCGTTCAAGCCCGCGTAATGTACGAAGAGGGTGCCGAATATAACCCGGCTTGCGAAACGCCGGTGGTGCGCAGCCCCCGGCAATTCCAGGGAAAGGCGGCGAGGGTGGCCAGGTGCCTGCTCACCAAGGCGTACCTGCGACTTCGCAATGGTACGCCGACGGTGGAGGTTTCCCTCAACGGAAACCACACCAGCACGTCGACCTTCCCGAGTAGGCGTTCCCTCCGTTCCCCGTTCCGTTCCCCGTTCGCCAATCCATTGGCTGCCTCGCCTCCCTGCCAATTTTTGCAAAGGCCCTATGGGGCCGACAAAATGTGAAATGAAATGCGGTTTGTTGGAGGACCACATAGGTAAGGGAGGTCGTTTGAATTCTGAAAATATTTTGCAGTTTACTCACCTCTTGTTAGAGGTGGCCTGTATAAACATGAAGGCTAGGCGTCACGTCAGTTCATCAAGCAGGATATCAGAACCTATAATGCTTGAGTATCTCACAATAATGCCTGAAAAGGTACTTTCAATCCCAGTGGTTTCTAATGTTCGCAGTAGATAATGACCGACTAGAACTGTGCCGAAGCCGAGGAATCCCGAAAAAAGCTTGCCTCATGGTGAAGCAACAAAGATCAAATGTCATTCGGAGCCATGCTAGGTTTAGCTGAGACGTTACGACAGGAAATTAGACACAAAATCTGACCTGTCTTCACTAAGCAGTGGTATGTTTCAACAGAATTTCCCGAGGACCAGGTCATACATTTCGAAAACCACTCAGCGAAGAACTGATGAGCAGAGCTGTGAAGTTCTATTTCTCCCGATCTCGCACTATTCCAGTGCTGTTTATTCTTATCGGTGCTGCGTAGTTCATGGAAGGGAATATTCGGAAAAAATTGAAGGGGATCAAGAGAAAGAGCAGGTCCGAAGATAATAGGGTTCAATTCGGTTTTTCAACACGTTTTTCAATCCTTGGAAAGAGAAACACGTCCATGCACTTGAAAAAGTGCAGAGTAATTTAACTCGTAAATTACTTATTCGAATCGGAGGTTTCTTGTACTCCAAAATCCAAATGCAGCAATTAGGAATAGGTATTTGGGGCTTCCATCACTACAATCAAGGCGCAAAGTTTCGATCTCTGCCTAGTTCATAAGATGATACAGGACTTGAGTGGGTCTTCTTCCAACGTTTTCAGAATGTCATGCTCCAGAACGAGAGGAGGGCGTAGGAAGATTT